TAGCACAGACTTGGATCCAACCTCTCCCAAAGGTCAGCACTGCTCAGCTCAACTAATTGGCATCTGAAGCAAACATCAGCAATATGATGCTTGTGGTTTCATGTTATCATGAGAAATTGTAGTGTATCACATCGAGCCTGTTGGACTCTGGATTTTTCACTGCATGAAAATGTTGAGGTTCAATTACACCTGGAGAACCCCCAAAGGGAGACCTGAGCTCTGTGTCTTTGGTTGTGTCTCCTCCGCCTTGCTCAGCCCCTGCTCTGAGCATCTATCCCCTTGCAGCATCTCTCCGGGTACTCAACCGATTTCCTTTTGCAGCTGCAGCCAAGCACCCCTTAAGAGCAATGAATTGGAATAACAGTTGTGCTCTTTTTCCCTTCCTTTCCACAGGACTTGTAGTTGGTTTGCATTGCTTTGTCTCACTGTGGAGCTGGGGGTGTGGGAAGGGAGGAGGAGAGGAAGGCGAGCCTGGGAGCAGTCTTGGCAGAGTCCTGTTTCTCACATTCGCTGACCTGCTGCGCTGGGCAGTGGCTTGAATTTCCCATGCATCTTTTTGGCCGCTACCTCGTGAAGCTGGCCGTAGTGAGCTGTGCCAAAGAATCACATCAAGCTAATATCCAACACCAGCTAAAGAGGGAAAAGACCATCTTGCCTCTGTTTCCCAGGCAGCCAAGAGACCGTCCTTCCCCAAAAGCACAAGGCACGGGGCTCGGTTTGCCTGCTGCTGCACATCTCCAGCGCAGTGATCCCCACCTGAGCCTGGCCTGTTGGGTCCACTGATCCTCCCAAAGGAGGGAATGGGGCAGTTTGAGGGAATATCCTATTGCAAATGATGCTCTGAGTACTTGTTGCCTTCCAAATACCCGGCTCCAACGATAACTGCACCCTGGGCACCTAAACTTACATGAGATGAATCCTACCAGTGCTATCTTAAGAGTACCTGAGTCAACCTGGCCCCACAGAGCAACCAATATGGAATTGGTCAGTGACATCAGGCGATCCTGGTTTCCCTAGGTATTTGGGGGGGCTCCCCATCTCTTGGAGCAGTGCCTTTTGCAGCAAGGGGATCTGCTCAGCTGGGGGCAGCCTGGCAGGTCTTGCTGGGGATGGTGGGATGGAGCTGGTGCTTGCACGGTGAGGAGCCCCTGCCTCTTGGGCAGCGATACCAATGCTGAAAGCATTTCCCTTCTCGCTGCTTCATCCCACACAGACCATGGGGGAAGCAGAGCTCTTGGAAAGCGTCTCGGCATGTGTGGAAGCAGGTGAGGGCTGCTTGCGCTTTCATTGCAAAGCAAACGGAGACCAGATCTTCCCAATGTGGTAGCTCTTTCAGGCTGTCAGAGCGGCACTGTTTTTCTCGTGGCTGGGGTCTGAGCACCCTGATGTTTTTTTTTCTCCCTCCTATTCCTGCTGGTTCTCCTCTCCCTCTCTTGCCTGGAGATGCTGGAGGAGGAGTTGGCGAATGTCTCCTTGCTCAGTAATTACAGGTGCAGGGAGCAACAAAGGTCTTCCCATCTGCCTTTCCCCAAACTCAGAGAATTTGCTTTTGAGCAAGTGTAGAGTTCAGATCTCCATCCCCTCGTGCCGGTGCGGAGATGACAGTGTCTACATTGTGGACGCGGGGCGGGTGAGGACAAGTCTGGACCACAGACCTACAGAGGCCCCTGCTTTCCCTAACCTCCTGCTTCTGGGCTGAGAAATTAATGTGGATTTTCCTGGCTGTGTTACTCTGTGCAGGGCAAGACAAGCAAATGCAATAAGATTTAAAGCTTTTTACATGAGCAAATCAAATCGTGAACTGCTATCAGTTTATTAGGATGATTCAGTGCCCCGCGTAGCCTGCAGCTCCCAGCAAACCCCTCTCTGCCAGCTGCTTCAGAGCTGCTGAAGCCGGTTAGATACAGCAGCTCCCTGCTTAATTGTGTTTTCCTCTCAATTACAGCTCTGGATGGCTAAAATCCGGGAAGCGTTTTGTGACCCTGTGGGGAGATTGGGGATGAGATGCAGTCCCGTGGCAGCTAGGTGAGCAAGAGGCACTGGACTATGTCTGAGTAAAAAGTGGGCCAAAACAGGGTCAAAGCTGGCGGTGAGGTGGAGGGAGGGATCGGTTACTGGCTCAGTGTAACCTGGGCGATGAGTCTAAGTGATGAAGATGCGACTTGCACCGATCTGTCGCTCTGGGGGGGAAACCAGCACCATTTCAGTGAGCTGGGAGGAGGAGAGGAAAGGGTGGAGGGAGAGTCGGGGAATAACTATCCCGTGGATGGATAAAGCAGGAGGAATCGCATCTGCTTGCACACTGTCACCGTGTGCCGCTGCCAGTCTCATGGTTGAATTTGGCCTCTCGGGCAGGAGGTGGATATCACTTGCCACAGAGCAGGCTGTGAGCGAGAGGAAAAGCCTTGCAGCAGCCTTGCTTTTTAATTCCCTTTCCCCACAGTGGCAGACTATGGAAGAGCCCCCTGGACGCCACAGCAGAGCAGAAACCACGGAGAGCCTCATTTATAACCACAACCTGCTCAAACAGCATTGCCATGCATCCCTATTCCCACCATGGTGATGGCCCCCTCCCTTTGCTTTCTTCCCCTCTGCCCCAGCTGTGATGCTCTGTCTCTGAAGCCCAGCCAGGAAAGATCTGGGGACACCCCGGTGCCCCTCCAGCCCCGAGTTTTCTCCTGGCAGTTCACAAAATGCTCCCACATTGATTGCAGCCTTTCATCTCTTTGTTCAAAGCCTGGTGCCTTCGCTGCAGCTTTCACACAACAGGTCTTTCATCACCACGCTGTATTTTATTTATTCCTTTTGGCGGGTGTATCAATGGCCAAGTTCCTCCTTTCTTGGTCCTCACTTGAAATTAGATAAAACGACATTAAAAATGAAGCTGTTCCAGGCTTTTCCACCACAAGGAAAATTTTCTGCTGGTTTTTTTTGTATTTGTGGGTTTTGTTTTTGTTTTTGTTTTTTAACAAGGCCACAATCAAGAATTTCTCATCCTCTAAAAACATGTTGCAAGATGCTTCTGATGCCTTGAAGGGCATATGCTGCTGTAAGCCCTGTGGCTCCTGCTCACCCCAATCCCCATCAGAGAGCCCGGTCCCTGTTACTTGCAGCCCAGGGAAGCTGGAAGAGCATCCCCAGCACAAAGGAACAAACAGCTTTCAGGGTTACTTTTGGGATATGCCACAGCAGAGCATTTCTGCATAGAGGAGAACTGGTGTCCGTGGAGCGCGGGGGGGGGACATGGGGATTAGCCAACTGTTATTTTTAAGCACTAGGCTAAGAGGATCTCTGTGGCGATGTAGGAAGCTCTGGGTTAGCATCACACGCTGGAGACCGCCTTGGTGTGTCTTGGGGTGAAAGCCAAGGAAGCACCCATCTCCTCCTGCTCCCCCTCCAGCCCTGGCACCCGGCGAGAGGTGGAGGATGCCCAGTGGACCTGACCCTTTCCAGCCCCACAGCCCCTGCCCTGTACATCAACTCTATCCCTGCAAGGCATTCTGTAACAAGTTGTCACCAGAAAGGACCATGACAAGGCTTAAGCATGCTGATTTTTGGGTAAATCAAGCAACAGGTTGGCAGATGGGTTCTGCTGGGGGGACTGGGGAGAGGGGGCAGCCCCTGCTCTACTGCTCAGCTCCCAGAGAGCCTCTGCACCACTGCCATGGGGCAAAGGTACGGTTTTCCTCCTGCTCTGGGGGTACAGAGTTTCACTTGGCTCCATCTCCCCCTGGCCCTGACCTCTGCATGCCAGCTGGGGAAAAAAAGTTTTGAATTCTGTTTTCATAAGGAGTTCTGTACCAGATGCGTTGGACAGACCTGCTGCATTCTCTCTCAGGCAAAGGTTAGGAGGCAGCTACAGCATCAAAATGGTCGAGTGCCCACAAGTTTCAGGCAGCTTTTGGAGGTGCAAGCGTGGATTTTCCCAGTGGGACACCTGGAAGGAGAGGAGTTGGTGGCTTGGAGGGGTGGGAGGGAGGTCTCCTGCCCTTACCCAGCCCAGGCAAACATCCCTCAGGGATGCTACTGCCTGGAGCAGGCAAGAAACACCATCACTGCTTCTTTCCAGACAAGTTTTTCTCTGGTATCTGCCTCTAACAAGACCATGGGGAGTCTGGCAGTGGCAGCAGCAGAGCCGAGTGCCCCCAGGAACCAGTGCCAGCCCACGGGACCCTCCGCAGCCATGAAAACGTCCCCACCACAGTCACAGGGAACTGGGAGCAAAGCCTGTCCTCGGTGCAAAACTGAGCACCCCTCTGAGCCCCATCTGGCCGTGCAGCACCCAGCGCTGTGTGATCTGACTCATCCCTGGCCACCCGGCGTGCTGGAGGGCTGCAGGCGGCCGCTGTCCCCGTGTCACCCACTAGCTCCCTCCAAAAGGCCACATCTGATCCCGCAGCAGCGCGTGTGGCCGAGTGCCCTCTGACCCGTGCCCAGCAGTCCTCAGGTTTCCCCCTCCACAGGTGATGCCGTGACGTTTCCTAACACACCTGAGCTTTTAAAACAAGTGCCTGCTGCTGCTGCTGGAAACCCTCCCTGGGTATTTCATGGAGAGGGAGAAGGACCCACCACCGGTGCATCCTGTGGGAGTCCCGTGGAGCCCCCAGGTCCAGGCTGGGGGACTTCACCTGGGTGCAGCGGGACCCTGGGCAACACTGGTCCCTCCACGGAGGGTTTGCAGCCAGCAGTGGGGTCTGTCCCCGTGGGGAGCCGGGCTCCTGGTTTCCCCAGCAGCGAGAGAACAACGGTGAAGTTCAACCCAGCAAAAGGCAGCGAGGGCTCCCAGGGATGCTCTGAATCCCTTAGGGATGCAGAAAAGCTGGTAGCCTTCTCCCAGAAGACCAGCCCGCACCTGCCCTGGACTTTGGGGTACTCAGCAGCTTTCGAAGGTCCCTTCGGGTTCCCTCCCTGCCGGAGCCGAGCCCGGGCAAGGGGCTGGGGATGTCCTGGGGTTCCGCAAGTACCCGGGGGTCGGGGACCCGCCGCACCGACGGCTTTACCTGGCGTAGCGCGTCTTCTGGAAATCCAGGACCCGGGACACGAACATCGCGGCGGTGCCATGGGGGGGTCCCGGGCCGGGGTGGGGGAAAAAGTGCAGCCCCGGGGGAACCGCACCAACTCCGCGGGCTCCGGCGGGGCGAGGAGGAGAAGGGGTGGCCGGTCCAGCCCGGCCCCGGTCCCCTCCTGCCCCCCCCGGCTGCTCGGGAGAGCGACACCGGGAAAACAAAGGCGACCTCCGGGAGGGGGAAGCCAGCCCCGCTGCCGCCCTCAGATGTGCGAAGAGGAGGAGGAGGAGGAGGAGGAGGAGGAGGAAGAAAAAAGGGAGGGGGGGGGAGATCCCGTCCAACTCTGCCCGGCCACTGCAACCTGCACGATCTCCCTTAGCCGCCCCGGCAGCTTTAAGCACAGCTAAAAATATTCCCCCCCCCCCCTCCCCCCCCCCCCCCCCCCCCCAGAGGATCAAATAGCAGCAGATTTGAATTGAAAATGTGATTAAAGCATCGCGGGGGGGGAGGGAGGAAAGGAGGGAGCAGGGAGTGCAGGCAGCCTGCCCGCTCCCCCCGGCCACGCTGCCCACGGCCGGGTCCCCCCGGGGGGGCAGGGAGCAATCCCTGCCTGCGTTCTGCCTGCCCCAGGGCAGGGCTAGCCCACCCCGGCATCCCCAGGGAGCTGCTTTGTTTGGCTTTGCTTTTATTTATTTGTTTGTAATGATTTCTTTTTTTTTTTTTTTTTTATTCTTTTCCAGGGGCCCAGGCAGGGGGTGGGCAGCTCGGGAGAAGGGACAAAGCAGCACGGGCTGGAGAGCCCAGGATCCTCAACCCATCTCCATCCTAAGCCTTCACCCTTCTACTCTTTACAGCACCCCGGGAGGGTCTCACAGGAGGCGAGCGCCCAACGTACATCTGAGGTTGGGCAGCTCAGAGAGGGGATGTAAAATGTGATGGGGTCTTGTCTGGGGGCAGATGGGCATCATCTGTGCCCACCCTGTGCCAGAGACTGCAGGCACCCTCAAGCCAGCAGCTAAGGGACAAGAAAGGTGACGTAAGGTCAGCAGTAACTGGAGGAGGAGAGTCCTGGTCTCCCCAGCGCAAACTTTCCTTGCTGATGCTGTAATAACGTTGATGGGAGGAAGGTGGAACAGCTGAGGACATCTCAACATGAAGGGTTATGCTTGTATGGCCATTTCCATGGGAAATGAAGCACACACACCTCTTCCAAAAGCCAAAACAGACAAAAATTAAGGGATCCCCTAACTCAAGGCATGAATTAATCCTGACACCCTCCGCAACCCCTTCCAAAAGTAGCTCGTCTCTCCAGGGGATGCAAAAGGGGTGATGCTCCAGATGCATGCTGCCTTGTGGAGTGTCCTCAACGCACAGAAGCAGCACCCCAGTTCCCCACTGCTGGGAGCCAGCAGCAGGGTTAACCTTCCTGCATGTTTCCCATCATGAATGGAAGACACCATTGGACACCAGGCTGGTGATACCGGGATCCAAGAGGTGCAGGGGGAACAAAATAAGCCCCATCTTCGGTAGGACCTTCCCAGAGTATCTGGGACAGCCAAGCCCTGGCTGAGACCGACAGGTCCAAGCTGAGATGCAGAGTGAGATCATCTCCGAAAACCTCTCCCACGCTCTGCCACTTAGCCGGGAAGATTTTTTTCAAGTTCCTTTCCCAGCCTTCTAGATGACGAGGCTTTGGCAAAGGCTATTTCATGATGCCTGTGCCCTGTTCTACCTTTTCTCTGGGCCTGAATAGGGGAGGGAGAGAAAACGGTGATAAATCATGTTTAACAGAATAACCCCCATCCCCAAAGCCCCCAGCCCGCAGCCGGGGTGCTGGCAAGGGACACCTGAAGTGAACCATCAGTCCCGAAATAGATCTGTCTCAGAGGGCAAAAGGCAAATTGAATGAAAAATAAGTTACTATTTTTGAAGCCTGAATCCAGTTGTTATGGCAACCAAAGCCTCACGCATCATGCTGGGGAATGGCTCCAGCCCCAGCGCTGCCTCCAAACCTGGCGGCTGGAGAATCACAGGCAGCCAGGAGCAGCTCGATGGTGGGATGCGGAGATGTCCACGCTCACACCACCTATACCCCATCGGGACGTGTCCACTCCCCGTATGGCACCTCCCCTCACGTATTGGCTGGCCACAAGACCACCTTGCTTTTCTTTCTTCCTCCATCCCTGCTGCAAGGATCTGAGTAATTGTAATGATGTTAAGGAGAGTTTCCAAGATTCAGGTACACCTGAATGCAGTGACATTTTTGTAATGTCACCAAAACGGGGGAGGGGTCTTGCATAGTTTTCCTTTAGAGAAGGAATGGGTCATGAAGACCAGGGTTGCTTGCTCCCCAAAATATGCAAAATCCCAAACGCTGCAGGAGTCTCGTAGCTGGAGACACCTCTGTGCGTTGTCCCTTGCTCCTGATGCTGGGTCCCAGGTGTGAACAGTGTGAATATCTGCTACCACGGTGGTATTGGGCTCTCCTGGCAGCGCACGCTATAATCGCATTTCCCCAAGGGAGGAAGGTTTTCCTGCGCATTAAGCTGCTGGAACCAGCAGGTAAGAAAAAAGACAAATTGAGATTAAAATCTGCCATCTCTTCGCAGGAAAAGCCTCCCTGCAGGAGAAGAAACTTTGGATGGGCAGAAGGAATTACGGGACCAACATGGATGGGTTGGCAGCAGCTGTAGCGGAGGCAGAGGCGAGCGTGGGGGGCAATGGGGGGGCAGGACCGGCTCGGGGGTGACTGTGGCAGGGTGGACACAGGGCAGCAGGGTGCCGGGACAGGGCCGCTTGGGTTTAAGCCGTTTGGAGGAGTCTCCTCACCCGCATCTGGAGGGCAGTTGAATGTGGGGGAGCCTGGAAGGGTCCCTTACACATCGGGAGCTGGCTGGACTGGTGGAGGAGATGGCTCCATCACCCCCCGCCGCTGCACAGGCATCACTCACGGACCCTCCCGGATAAGCTGGCCCCAGAGGCATGAACCCCAACACCCTGCACTCCCCAGCGTGGCTCATTTCCCCAAGATTAGCTCTTTTCAGGACCAAGCCCTTGATTTCGATCCAGTTTCCAGACATTCCTATAGTTCAGTTGCCTTTTTTTTTTTTTCCCTGCAATTTCTATTATCTCCTGACAAGCTGCTCCCTGCATCCAGCAGCCCCCGACTTCCCCTTGCTCTGAAATTGCCTCCCGCCCACCCCTGGCTGCCCTGCAAGCTGGGGACCCCCAAAACCAGATGCACCCCTGGCCAGGACAAGGCCATCGCGCCCAGTTGTGAGCTCCAGAGAAGGGGCTGCGCCCAGGAGCAGAGCCCCCGTCCCATCTGCTGAGCCTTGGGGACCTCCCGTGGCACGAAGCAGAACTGCAGAGGGTTTGACCCCGCAGGACCGTGACAGTAACGTGGCGGCCGCGCTCAAGGCTGGGGGACAGCGGGGACACGCCGGAGTTGGGGGACCACCGAGTACGTTATGCGTCTCCCATCCAGCCGCCGACCCCGGCGGGCCCTGCTTAGCTTTAGAACGCCGCTGCCCGCCCACTACCCCCCCCCCAGCCCTTTCCCCAACCAAGTTCGGCGCCACCACCCGAGCGCATGCGCGGCTCCTCCCGCCCGCCCCTCCTCCTCCTCCTCGCCCCGCGGGGCGGGCGCATGCGCGGCGGCAGTACGGTGGCCGGGA